AATCTAAAAAAAAGAAAGGAAAAGAAAAGAAAAAAGAGGACACTAATGAACTTATCTACAAAACAGAAACAGACTCGCAGACGTAGTAAATAATCTTATGGGTACCAGGGGAAAGGGGATGGGAAGGGATAAATTTGAGAGTTTGAGATTCTCAAATGTTAGTCACTACTTATAAAAATGGATAAAAAGATTTTTTCTGTATAGTGCATGGAACTATATTCAGTATCTTGTACTAAACTTTAATGAAAAACAATATAAAAATGAAAATATACAAATATATACATGACTGGGACATTGTGCTGTAAACCAGAGACTGATACACTGTAACTGACTAAACATCATTTAAAAAGTAAAATAAAGTAAAACCTGCCTGCCCCTCCCCAAAATGAAAAGAAACATCCGTCTCTATCTTATTTGTACTTTCCTTATATTAAGAAAGGAGAAACTGATCCATTTTCTAACTACTAATAACAAGGTTGCAGTAAGAATTAAACGAGATGATTTGCTTATAAATGAGTTCTGTGATTAAGAGTGTGATACAACCCTCAGTAGCAAAAAACACAGTAGGGAAAAATAAATATAACACGTGAAATACACAGGTGAAACTTTGTAATGTAATGTGACACCAGAAGCCCTTGCAGACAGGAAGACTGGAAGGTATTCCTACACCTCATATCTGCTTTCATATTATGAAGTGGCTGGTCCATTGTGAGCAAAGGTGACATAGAACCAGATGAAGATAGACAAAGATTTGATGAGAGTCAGTCCAGGTACACTCAGGACAGTGTCATGCAGCACGGGTCAAATTTCAATTCATCCCTTCTTCTGCCTTAGTAGAGTCATCAGTCAATGATTCTGTCTCAAAATTAACCTATATTTAAGTTTAAAGTAATGATAGGAAAACTGTGATGAATTTCAGAGTGTCAATTCACTGTAGCCTTTAGTAACTTTCCTAGAAGACACTGGTAGGAGAAGCACGGGCTTTAGTTGTTGATAAACCCGGTTTACACTGAGTACTAGCTCTGCCACCTGAGCTTGTGACTTCAGATGCCATATTGTTGCTGCTAAGCCTCAGTTTTCTGATCTCCAAAGTGGTGACAGGAAGTTGAACCTTGTAAGGTTACACTACAACATTATACTGTATGAGAGAGATTCTATTTTCCACTTCATTCATTATCTTATCCTCAAGCCTGAATGCTTGACACACAGTAGGTGCTCAGGAAATATTTCTACAACTAAGGAACTGGGAATTTACTTGAAACCATCTCTGCAACATACATAATTCAATACCTGAAATATGCTAAGAAATTTCCCACTCATCTTACAATGTTCTGAGTTAAAGCCCCCGTCTGGATCTGGCTGCCTTGGAAACATGAGGGTTTTAACTGCATCCTACTTCTTGTCTTTCAGGTTGTATACAGTGTAAACTTATTTACCAAATTAGAATTTAAAAAGGTAAATGATGTCTTCGGGCAGCATTTATAGAGTAGAATCCAACCTAGTTAAGCCTGTACCTTCTATAGTCCATAAGGATAAGGACACTGCCCCCTTCCTGCCCTTTCCCACTCCGTTCTTAGAAATTGGATCTAGTTCTGTGTAAGTGGGTGGTCCTTAAAAAGAACTTGAAATATTGAAGAACTCCAAAATGATGGCAAGTGTCCAGTCTTCTTTGTGGACAACAAGCAGGGTCTGAGCTTCTGTCTCAGTGTTCTTGGGACAGAACAACGTGAAGGTCAAATCTGCATCAGAGTCAAACCAGGACTTAGGAAGTAAGGGCATGAGTCCTGGTGATGTTCCGCCCAGGGAACCCAGAGGTGGAGCAACATCAAGAGGGAGTCAGGATGGGCAGGGCTTTCCAAGGACATTCCTACAAGAGCAGAGCACACGAGGGAGAGTAGAGAAGGGCTGAGAGAGGGACTCTGGATCACCACACTTGTATTTCTTACATCTCACCTGCTGAGAAAGGCAGAAAGTCTTCCCTTTTCTTAAACTGTCCATTCTCCAGAAAGTGCTCTGGATTGAACGTGTCTGGGGTGGCCCACTTTGCAGGGTCCCTGTGCAGTGCAGTCAGGTTGCTCAGGACCATGATTCCCTACAAAAGTCAGCAAAGACTCAGGCAAGGCTTGATCCACACAACACACCTGTGCAGACAGCAGGTGTCCCCTGGGCTCCCACACCAAAACCTGACAGCACTGTGAACCCCCTCAACCTCCTCAACTCACCACCCTCTGAGACCAACCCCGAGGACCCTGCTCTTTGCCAGGGGACAGATTACAATGATTGATGTAATTGTCTGCTGGGAATTTTACCAGGGAAGTGGAACCACTCATGACTGCCAAATGGATCTCTCCAGGGACATGTCAGTGCAGGACTTGGAGGGTACATGTGTGCATCAATGAGAGAATAACGTGACAGCTGGCCAGTCAATATTGTCCCCAAACCAACCCAGCTGCTCCATGAACCGATGGCTATGGCAGCTCTTTCAAGGTAAAAATGCCTCATGTATCTTTGTTTCTCCCGTTCTCTTCCCTCCAATGTCTAGGTCATTGCACAGAAGGTTGAATAAGAGAATCAGGTCGCCCTGTGAAGGAACCACTATCCTTCCAGACACATAATATGAAAACTAAGAGCCCCCTTAATACCCCCCTTTCCCTCATTCTGCCTTCATCCAATCCTTCAACAAGGCTGGTCAAGTTAACTTTAAATTCCTCTTGATTCTTTCTCCTCCATTTTAGGTCCACCTCTTCCACCCTGGTCCAGGCTACCCTCTTGCCCCCCTAAATAGCTGTCTAACTATACCCATACCCTCCCTTTCCCCTTACCTTGTGCTCTTCATACTGAAAGCAGAGCTAGCTTTAAACAGGAATTTTTCATGTGACACCCATCCACCCAGCACACCTGGAACTTGACAGACACCCTCAATAGCTCCCCACCCTCACTCTTAGATGAAGCATGCATCACCTCACACTGTCTGAGACCCTCCCTCTGCCTGCACTCCCACTGCAGGCAGAATCTTGCAGTTTCTCAAAGTCACCACATGTCCCCACTCATTTCCCTGCTTTTAAAGGCTGTTAGTCTTGCCTGGAATGACTTCCCTCCCCAATTTGCCACTGAGTTAACTCTTATTCATCCTTTAATCCTCATCACTGCCTTTTCGAAACCATCTCTGCCCACTCCTGCTCTCACTCCCCGTTCCAGTCAGCCTGCATCTTTGGAGAAACCAGTGACTTTTTTCAGCTGGGCAGTTACCATGATTTGCACATATAAGACTAGGATTTCAAAATGTAGAATAGATAAACAAGATTATACAGTATCGCACAGGGAAATATATACA